TTTAAATCTCTGAGAACCTGAGCATCAGTTTTTCTTTTTTGTTTTTCATAAAGCTCCTTGAGTATTTCTAATGTGAAGCCAGGTTTGAGCAGCGTTGTTCCAGACTAGAGCGGTGGTTCTCAGCCTTGGTTTCACACTGGAATCACCTGGAGAATTTAAAAAATATTGATTCCCTGGATGAACCACTGAAATTGCAATTCAGCTCATCTGGGCTGCACTCTAAATATGGGGAAAGCCGCCACACTCCCCAGGTGATTCCAATATTTAGCCAAGATTGAGAATCACCGATCTAGAGCAGTGGTTCCCAAACGTTAGAGTGCACCAGAATCATCTGGAGGGCTTACTAAAAAGCTTGCTGGAACTCATCCCCCCAGATTTCTGATTCCGCAGGTGTAGGGTGGGACCCAGGGATCTGAATTTTCTGCATGGCCCCAGGTGATACTGCTGCTGCTATCAGGCCTACACTTTGAGAACCACTGATCTTTTGCTTCTCACAATTTAAAATGCTAATGAACCACTTTAGACTCTTGTTAAAATACAGATTGTGATCCAGTAGGTCTGGGGTGAGATGCAGGGTGTGCATTTCTAACAAGTTCCCAGGAGATGCAAAGCTGCTGGTCCATGGACCACAGTTTGATGAGCAAGGGGCTAGAACAGAGAACACAAAGGTTTTATCAAAATCTAAAAGTCAAAGTTGTGTAAGTCATTATCTACAGAGCATTGATGTTTCCCATGGCTAAGAGGATTATTCAGTTGATTTGTGGGTAGGAGGCGGGAAGCTTGGGTACCAAGTGTGGAGGCTCTTGGTTTGTTTTGTTTTGTTTTTTGTTTGAGACAGGGTCTCACGCTGTTGCCCAGGCTGAAGTGCAGTGGCACGATCTCAGCTCACTGCAGCCTCCGCCTCCCAGGTCCAAGCGATTCTCCTGCCTCAGCCTCCAGAGCAGCTGGGATTACAGGCACCTGCCACCACACCTGGCTAATTTTTGTGTTTTTTGGTAGAGATTTCAGGAAATCCTAGAAATCAGTAAGAAAAAGACCAAGTTCCAAGGAAAAATACACAAAAAGTATAAATGAACAATCTGTCAATAAGCAAGGATAATAAAGAAAGCTCTGGAAATTAAGAGCAATGAGAGGAACAATCTGTGAATTGTTCATTTATACTTTTTGTGTATTTTTCTTAGTTAATGAAAGTTAACAAAGAAAAGTTAATATATATGGCTATTACACATATAAGAGGTTACCCAGTCTCAGCCTATTAGAGAAATGCAAATTAATACTATAATGGGATTCCATTTTTCAACTGTAATTAAACTATCAAAATTCTGTAAGTTTAATGACCCTGTGGGCAAAGTACAGTCAAGCTGGTGAGAGAA